ACATACTGGAGGATAGAGAAAGTTCTTCAAGATTCTTTCCAATGAATCTTTGGATATTTCGACTCCTTCTTGTAGGCACTTTTCAAAAGTTTTGTAATTCTCCATCATTGCATATCTGATCAAGTCACTTTGTTGGCTGAGGTTTCTCTCAAGGTCTTTACAAACATCTTTGTTTTCTCCACCCTGAAAAGGAAATAAAGATATTTAGTAGAAAAAATGTGTGGTATGAGTAGCTCTTACTGTGTTTATCAAGCCATGTTGCTGTATCTTTGATCTAGGTTAGGCATTGTTTAGACATGATTAATTATGTCTGAATACTAACTCAGAACTTAAACATTGTCTTTTATTTTACTTAAACTACATTTACTTATTTCGATGCACACATTTTAGTCACTTAAATAACATCCATATTATAAATAAGCAACATTTCCAGACTATTATACATAAAGGAAATGTTGACACCCTTCAATAAAGGAAAGAAAAGGTAATAAGATAAGACAAAAGTAATTAGATATGATTCTAAGAACAAGAACAAATCAGAAATTGCTTTTCAGCCATGCTAAAACAGGCCTAGATAAAAATGATGGTACGCTTAGAAAAAAACATTAAAGCTATATCAAAAATTAAGGGTTTGGAATATAGGAACCTTTTGCTGCAAGGCAACTGTACTACCGACTATGCAGCCAAAGTTTAGCAGCTGTGGACTACCAGTACTTCAACTGAGTTTACCTGAGTCTAACAGTCTTTGTTTCTCTGAGTCTAACATGATTTTGTCTTTTGCCTTTCGACAGGAAGTCATCCTGCATACTGGATGTTTGGCCTTCTTCCCCTGGAAGGATTGTTTGAGCTTCACACTGAGCAGGGGATTCATCTCCACACGTCCTGTTCAAGTTCTCCAGGAAATCTAAGTGGCAGTCCGCTCCATTGCCCCTCAGAAACCAACCAAACCAAAAACCTGTCCGCCCTCCAACGAGCCCCTCAATCTCTGGAAAAACCCACACCGACAGGATTCAGGGAAGAAACTTTTCTCCGCAATCGTAAGTCCTGTTTATCTCTGTTTTTGCAAGACGTCGTTAAAAGTTCCCATGGACCCTGAACTGACCTCTGTGAACTTCCCTTCTCACCTCCAGTTCCAGTTCAACAGCTCTCTGAATTCCCCCGAATCCAACCCTTTGAACTCCTCAATAAACCTGTTAAAATTTTCTCTGGTTTCTCTGAGTGGTTTTCTGCATGTAGATGAGATCTCTTTAAACCGTCATGACAGGAACTGCTCCACCTCTCACTGTTCTGATTTAGATCTCTAATGATGTTTGGTTCTGACCTCCACTGTGTTCAAATAATTTGAAATCACTTTTCAGATTAAAGGCCACAGTTTCTTGAGGCAGTTTGAGGGTTATTTTGATGAGGGCAAAACTGTTATATTGAGTTTAACAGTTTTAAGACTTTTTTTTTTCTACTTAACCATAATAAGATTAGGAGAAGTGAAACTTGGAAGGTGTTTTTATAACCAGAAAAAAAACTTAAGGGCCTAAATCTTACCATATTCCATGCTCCTTGAATCAAAGAGAGAATCCCATTAGCTCCAGACAAGTAGTTTGATGTTTCTGAGTGACAGTCATTGAGATTTTGAAGAAACTTCTGAAGCTTGGGGATTTCTGTGAAAACAAAATTCAACTTATAGAGGTAATCTTTTTAAACATAATTCTAAAGTTTTTATCACCCCAAAACAGGGATACTTATCCTACCGTTGTATTCTGGACTTAGATATTTCCTCTTGACAAACTCTTTGGAGCTCACTGTGAACACTTGGAAACAGTCTTCATTGAAATGTTTCTAAAACAGTAAAGGTTAATAGGCATTATGTTTGTATCCTGTTTCTAGATGTGGCTTATTTTGCTGTTGGATTTTTTTAAAAATAATTAAAGCTTACCTTAACTCTGGCTAGCTTGTTGAATTCTTTTCTCACAGATTCTTTGGCTGACATGTTTCTTTTGAGTATAGAATCCAACACAGCAGCTCTGGAGAAAAATAAGTAATAATTGTATATATATATATATATTACACATTTTGGAATGCTTAACAGCACGTTTGTCTAAACTGAAACCTTTGAATGTCTGGTACGCCGCTTGGCTCTGCTCAGTTTTTTTGTTTTAGTCTCATTTAACATCTGTTACTAGGACCAGCTGGTGTATAATCGTCAAGAATTGCTAAAAATAAGGGAAACGGTGCAATCGTGTACTATTCGTGGTGCAAACAAGTCGGACTAAGTTTACCCGGTTGTTTATTAAGGACTTTTCAGAACTTGTTGCCTGTGTGCTCACGAGTTATGACAGGGTTTTAATTGTTGGAGAATTCAATATGCATGTATGTTGTCCTTCTAAGCCCATGGCCAGGGAGTTTTTAGACTTGTGGGAAGCTTTTAATTTTACTCAACATGTCAACAATTGTGTTGTCCAGTGCTTTTCCCGTTAACTATGTCGTTGTTGGGATGCTGTGTTCTCTGACCACAGTCCTGTTATGTTTGTTCTTACTTTGGACTTAGAGGTGAAGCTGTCTAATTTGCTTCAGTTTTTAAACCCAACACAGCCGCTGCTTTTTCTCCTCTTTTCTTTTACTGCATCTTCTCTGGATCATCTAAACTCTGCTGCATTCATGGACATGGAGCAATTAATGAAATATTTTATTTCCACCCGCTCTGAAGCCCTGGGCAGTGTTGCTCCTCTTAGAGCCATCTGTCCTAAGCCAAAGCTGGAAGCGTTGCTCAATGCCACTACGAACACAGTTCAACTTGAGTGTCGGAGAGTGGAGCATATGTGCAGGGCCGGATTTAGGAGGATGGGGGCCCCTGGGCTGGAGTCAGGATGGGGGCCCCTGGGCTAGAGTAAAAAAAAAAA